TAACACTAAAGATGATATCATGTTTTGTTCATCTTACTCCTTGCTGGGGATAAACATTTTGCTGGCAAGTCACAACATTCTGTCATGTTTGCTCTATACCTTCAACCCTACACTGAAATTCCAAACAGGAATGTACAGCATGCGTAAGTGTAGCAAAGCATTCTGGGAGCCGTGGCAATACAGGTGTGCTATTCATTAAAGTCATGACCAACTGTTAGAGTCTTGGCTGGATGCTCTGGAATCTAATTGGTCAGCAACAGATGATTCATCATTCTGCTGCCTCTAGTAGTTAATGAGAGAGTAATAGCATCTAACAGAGATAGTGAAGATGTGACAGGGGATCCTGCTTGTGCTTGCACCAGTAACAGCTGGATGATAACTTCTTAAAACATAGTCCTGGACATTTGTAGTCGATTCTCACAACCTACCATGAAGGTGTAGCCATACTGAGAGAGGTATGCTGTTCCTGCTCATAAATTATAATGAATTCATGGAAGAAGATCAAAACACCCAATGTTCTATCTTCGAGAACTGGGAAGGATGTGCGTCCCAAATAGCACCCTATTCCCTATATAGTGCACTACTTTTGACCAGAGTAGTACCCTACATAGGGAATAGGGTGCCATTTGGGACGAAGGCAGATAATAAGCATCCCAGGAATGATGGCATGGCAGTGGAATGTTCCAGATGCACCTGAATGATGTAATCATGACAGAGTCAGTGGGCCGGCACACTAAGCCCCTGTGTGTGAGATGGGACTTTAGAGAGGTAGAGAGAGAACACCCATCCATCTTACTGTGCTGTCAAATCAATGACCAGAGTGCTACTTTTTCATGACAAACATCATATTTGTCTAAAGGTATAGTCACCCACTAGCAAGAAAATAAAAACATCCAGATTTGCATATTATCATCCTAGTCAACCAAGTTAACCTTTCACCTTTCAAACCCAAAAGAGACTGAGTGTGCTGAAGCACCTCTGTGCCATACGTAACACGCGTGTTGAAGTCATGTTTTAGGCAACATCTGCTGATGGTTAGAGTGCTCTGTGCTGCTCTGCTCTCAAGCCCCACTACACACACACACACACACACACACACACACACACACACACACACACACACACACACACACAAACACAAACACACATGCAAACACACTCACACAAACACACTGTACACTGCAGTGAGGTCATCAGGCCTGGACGTGGCTCGTTAGCCAATTAATCAGAGGGGGCTGCTTGACCTCTATCAACCCCCTATAAACTCCCTCTCCCCCCTTGCCCTCTAACCCCCAGGCTTTCCAACCCAACAGTTGGAGGCTCAGTGCCAAAATATAGAGGAAAAAAGAGACAATGAGAAATGAGAAAGAGTGAGAGGAAAGAGAGAAGAAAGAATGAGGAGATCGAGTAGACAAAGAGAGATAGAGAAAGAACAGATAAGACAAGAAAGAAAGAACAAAAAAACGTTGACGAGAGATCTCATCCGGGGCTAAAACCAGACGGAGCGAGATCGAGAGAGAATCTCTCTTCGTCTCTCCTCTCGCGCTCCGCTCATCTCTCGATAAGATCCCTCGAATCAGACTCAAAGAACGCACGTACCTCTCTTGTCTCTCTTTCTCATACGCAAGCCATTAACAACCACCATCAACCCAAAACGACCTGCAAGACCCTTGCCTACTAACCCCAGCTTACAACACGTTGAGCCAGTGCCAAATAGAGGCATAGCAGACCATCAACAATAAACCCCCCACCTCACCACCAAGAGCACAAACACATCAGAAGCATAATCAACCCAACAAGTGACTACATACCAAAACTTACAGATAAAAAGAGCATAAATACACATAGAACATGCTACCAGCTTCACTACATTGGAGCTCTCACATACAGAATAACGAGAAGCAAAGCATAAAAAAGAAAAAAGAATAAAACATACAATCACGACAAAAGAAAGAAATACAAAAAACTAAATAGCCTGCTACGCTCTCTACTACGTCACCTAGAGACTAGACAAGCGTAATAAGATACATCTCCCATTCTCTAGATCTAGCGTAGCTAGCAGATCTACGAGCGTCGATCATGCAGTATCTCTTCTCATATCTCTCTCTTCTCCCGTCTCTTGGTCAAATCCCTGCTACACATAGCCCTCATAGTATGTAATCACACTTGCTGTTTGCCAGCATGGTCCAGAAAGGAAATGACTGCATCCAGCGAAAATGCATCATACAACAATGGATTAACGGGCATGAAATCAAAAACTGGTGCTGCGCAGTGCTCTTCAAACAGGTGAACTGTAGCCAAGCTTTAGTACTTAGATCACAGAGGCTATTGTTGCTCTCTTCAGACGAATGATAATTGGTTTGTCTATCTACATTCTGTGTTTTGAGGTTTTGCTGTGTTGCTGATTTGTGTTTCTGCCCCCTGTGATAATGTTTTGGAATGGCTGTCTTCAGAACAGAAGCTGCCACACGACGTATGAGGTCCCTGCTACAGTTACAATATTTATTGAAGTTGCTTCTGGGAATTATTTTTGCTGCAGACACCCAAGAGAGTCCAAGAGAATGTGTTTCCATTTTGACCAAAAAGGTTTATGGTTCAAATAAGCCTTTTTACCCCCTGGTTCATGTCCATGTTTGGTCCAAATGGTAAACACAAGACAAGACAGTAACACATGTGACAGTCTGTGTACGTGCTGGTGGGCTATTGAATGTAAATATGCAGAGTTACTTTGTTCTGGCCCAACTTAATTTAGTTATTTTGTTTGGCTTGAATAAACACTGTTCGTCATATATGCTACTTATTAAGAGCCTAAAGGATACAGTCGTAATAGAACAGAACCCTTAAGTAATCTTAAGGGTTGCTGACTCTGTAGATATTTGATAGTTTGTAAGAGTATAGCATAATATCATAATTACCCAGATTATAGCCATGTAAAAATCGGTCTTTTGAGGATAGTCTAGACAAACAACCAGGGATTAGATGAGGTAAGACAACACCTCAGAGACACCCACCTTTACTCTACCATTGTTCCCCAAGCACTTCACTTGTTGCTCTAGCTCTGCTCTAGCCTGTCTCCGAGCGAAGCCAGATGACGAAGGCAGATGTAGAAGAAAACTTCCAGCTCTACTTTCTTTACCGTTTACACACTCAAGCCGAAATCTGGATGTCCTCTAGTCTACAAAGCTTTGGCCAAACTTTAATCATTACCATGGCGACCTGACATCTTGTTGAACATGCAGTATGATTAATGCTCTTTTCCTCCTCGACCACTGTGTTCTTTCTCTCCTGTATAAATCTTTCGCCTTGTTCTCACAGAGTAATTAACGTGATCCCTGGACGGAGGGATATTTATCATGGCACTCCATCACTTCCTGACACGCTCCTCCGAACCGTGACTGAGTCCAGTACTGCAGGCCCAGGCCGTGGCCACGGTCCGCCAAGCCAAACACACCGACCGACCCAGAGAGGTTCTGATAATGCGGTCAACATAATTAGGGCACCTCGCTCTGGACCGGGCTGATGGCCAAATCTCTCTCTCTCTCTCTGAAGTGATTTGGTGGACGTGTAAAGTAATCTGGCTGAAGCAGCAGAGACCGCTAGAGGGAGGGATGGATGGAGGGAGGGAGAGATGGAGGGAGAGATGGAGGAGATGGAGGGAGGGGGTCATACTGTACCTGTATGGTACAGTCTAGTCCGTTTTACACCGATTTACAATGATAGATGTCTCTACATGAAGGCATAGCCTCAGTCAGAAGGTGAACTCCCTGTTAGGGCTTGAATGTTCTCAGTCAGGTTGGATACACTTAAGCCAGATCTCTCTGACTTCACTTCACACTGACTGACTTTGCCATATAAAGACATTACTTTGACACAGAGAATCTGCCAGAGTATGTGTTTGCAGAGCTCAAGAGAGAGAGAGAGGGAGATGTTGCTTATAACAACGGCAAAGGCAGTTTCATTTTGGGCCAAGTCATCGGGTTTGACTTCAACAGTCCCGATCTGCAAACTATGGTCGAGTTTCTAAGTAACAAAATGAGTCTGGGTCATGTTTGAGTTACGACACTATTAATGTCTATAATAGGGGGAAAACTGGACTCTGTCAGATGATCTGTTAACGTGTATAGAGTGTAATGTAGAGTTTGTTTTTGACATCTCCTTGGCATGCCCATTAATTTCCTGTAATATTATACATAGAGTATATTACAGTTCAATTATCACAGAGTTGCAGAAACCTGGTTGAAAGCTAAACGTGTGTAAAACTGGGAACCTTCAAGAACGATTTCTCTGTATGTAACTACAGTCTGCTATTCATAATGTCGTTCTGAATTCCAGGTAAATACCAGCTAACCATGAAGAGCATGTATTACTCCAATATCTAGCCTACACAAACATCAGTATGAATCTGTCTCTAACTATTCAGGGTTGGTCAATTGTGCTTTGGAAGCCAATGAGTAAAGCTTCTTTGGCATTATGCATCACTCTATCAACTTACGATAACATGTCTCAACACAACCTGGGTTATAATACAGCCAGATCATTTATAAGGGGATTACCAATCAAAGGCAGCCTGATACTGATGTATTGAATTATTTATCAAGCTTTTGGTTTAAAGCCCCTCTTTTCTAAGAGAAAACAGTAATTACAAACCATCCAAAAAGGTTTTGGCATGTAGGTGTTAATTTCAAGATCATTCATTCAACACCTTGAGGAACCTTTCTGAGGAGGGTGCTCAGCTCTTGTGTGTGTGTGTGAGTGTGTGTGCATCCGTATGTGTGTGTGTTCATACATGAGTCCGTGCCTGCTTCTGCGCATGTTCTTTGCTTCTGGCCATTTTGAGCCAGTAATCGAACCCACAATTGCTGATGCTCCAGATACTCAACTAGCGACCTGACGTTTCTAAGTGACCCCAAACTTTTGAACGGTAATGTATGTTTGTTAAGTTGAGAAACAGAGCAACAAACAGACCTCTCTCGTTCCTGCTCCAGCAGGTTGGTGAACTCGTCGCTCTTCCTCATGAAGTCTCCATGGTTCCTCTTCTCGTCCTCCAGCTTGTACAGGGCGTGCTTGTGGGACTGCTCAGTCAGCAGCAGCTGCTCCAGCATGCGACGGTGGGTCTCCCTCTGCTTCTCCACCAGCTTGTCCAGCTAGGCCAGACCAGAGCATTTACTGACCACTCCTCTATGTGAGGTGATATAGGATGTATAAATGTATTTTAATACATGATTGTCCAGTCATGAGACAAAATCCCATAGTCAATCTTTGAACCTACAAAGTAGCTACTTCATATACATTTCAGCAGACACTCTTATCCATAGCGACTTACAGGAGCAATTAGGGTTAAGTGCCTTGCTCAATTGCACATCAACAGATTTTTCACCTAGTCGGCTCGGGGATTTGAGCCAGCGACCTTTCGGTTACTGGCCCAACGCTCTTAACCGCTAGGCTACCCGCCGCCCATCTACTGTAGCTGAAGTTATAAGTCTCAAGTCTCAACCCTTCCACGTCACCTTATCAGGGTGCTACACTTCACTGACCCCAGTCTTTACTGAGCTGCTGTATTGAATGTATTGTGACTGTGCTACCTCAGCCATGGGCCTCTCGTAGATGTCCTCCTGGAAGGTCTCAGCCTTGCTCTGGACGGTGTCTCTCTGCAGGGCCTGAAGGACCTTCTGTGGGGTGACGAACCCATACTGGGCCTCCAGGAGGGCCAAGTCAATCTTCTCAGCCTTCAACACTGTGATCACCTCGTCTCTGGCCTGTGTTCGGGGAGAGAGAGAGAGAGAGAGAGAGAGAGAGAGAGAGAGAGAGAGAGAGAAGAGGAAAGAGTTCTATGAGCATGAATCTAAGGAAAAAAGCACCATGCACCATGCCCCAGATCAAACCACAAATCCCTCTCTCCATCCCTCCGTTTCTCCAGATGCCTAGAGTCACGCTCCATCACAAATGAGCGCCACCTCTCCACTCCTCCAGCCAAGGTCACCAGGGCTCTGAGGATGCGTTCCAAATGGCACCCTATTCCCTACACAGTGCACTACTTTTTGACCAGAGCCCTATGGTGCCGGGTTAAAAGTAGTGCACTATATAGGGAATAGAGCGCCACTTGGGACACATCTTGAGCCTCTTGATGTCTGCAGGATGGATTAGACCTGAAGTCTTCAGGATTTCTATAAGGTTGGAGATGCGCTGCTCTGCAATTTAATAGGTTCATCTTGTGGGTTCATCTCTGTTTATAGGTCTCTGTGCTATTGATGCCTGCACCATCCATCAGTGTGAGACTACTAGGTCTACTGTTAGCTGTCTGATGTCAGAAACCCTCTACAGCTCCCCAGCTGTTATCTGTCTGTCTATTACCAACAAGCCTGTCCTATAGCTAGACTACCCATGGTTTAGTATTACCAACAAGCCTGTCCTATAGCTAGACTACCCATGGTTTAGTATTACCAACAAGCCTGTCCTATAGCTAGACTACCCATGGTTTAGTATTACCAAGAAGCCTGTCCTATAGCTAGACTACCCATGGTTTAGTATTACCAAGAAGCCTGTCCTATAGCTAGACTACCCATGGTTTAGTATTACCAAGAAGCCTGTCCTATAGCTAGACTACCCATGGTTTAGTATTACCAACAAGCCTGTCCTATAGCTAGACTACCCATGGTTTAGTATTACCAAGAAGCCTGTCCTATAGCTAGACTACCCATGGTTTAGTATTACCAAGAAGCCCGTCCTATAGCTAGACTACCCATGGTTTAGTATTACCAACAAGCCTGTCCTATAGCTAGACTACCCATGGTTTAGTATTACCAAGAAGCCTGTCCTATAGCTAGACTACCCATGGTTTAGTATTACCAAGAAGCCCGTCCTATAGCTAGACTACCCATGGTTTAGTATTACCAACAAGCCTGTCCTATAGCTAGACTACCCATGGTTTAGTATTACCAAGAAGCCTGTCCTATAGCTAGACTACCCATGGTTTAGTATTACCAATAAGCCTGTCCTATAGCTAGACTACCCATGGTTTAGTATTACCAAGAAGCCTGTCCTATAGCTAGACTACCCATGGTTTAGTATTACCAAGAAGCCTGTCCTATAGCTAGACTACCCATGGCTCGGTTGACCCTTATCCCAGATAACTCATGTTAGGACCCAGTCTAATGCCAAGCCCTCACCATGTTCAATCTAACATGACTCAGTAGCTAATCTACTCTATGCTACTCTGGTCATATGACCTGTTAGTGTAGCCATGAACTACTATACTATAATCTGACCCAGTCCAGCCCACACCTGGCCCAGTCTCTAGTGGTCCACCCTCTCACAGTGTCTCCTCACCTAATAACCCATGAACCAGCCCAGACCAGCCAAACCCTGGCCCTAGTCTCACAGTCTCTCCTCACCTGCAGTTCTCCCTCCAGCATAGACAGCAGGAACAGAAGGTCATCTCGGGAGAGGTCCCTGGCCTTCCCGCCTGCTGCCTTCTCCCTCCGGCTGTTACTGCTGGCACTGCCACTCCCACTGCTGCCACTGCCCTCCTTGTCCTTCCTCTGGACAGTGCCTGTGTTTGTGCCTGTGTCATCGGGAGGCTCCCTGTGTCTGGCCCGTCCTGCACCCCTGCCCTGTGGCTCCTCACGTTCTGTGGCCCGCCGCCGCGATCCTGCCTGATGCTGCGCCAGCTTGGCCTTGGCGGCGTCCTCTAGGCTGTTGCTACGGGAACGCATGGTTGTTTACCTGCGGGGGGAACAGGAAGGAACATAGTGGGAGGAGATTAATAGGTGGGGTGGGGTGTAGCCGTGGGGTAAAGGGTTGGTGGGTTGGTGGGTTGGGGCGGGAGACAGCTGTGCTGTGAATGGAGTGATCTGTTTTATTCAGCCCCGAAGCGCAGTCGTCCAGGCTTTGTATCATTGGACAAGACCGTGGTTTGGTTAAATCACTGACTCATGACAATGATGAAGCCATGAAGGGCCCGACAGTCTTAAGCTCCATTCACAGTGTCATTTATCGTTTTCTGAGTTGTATAGTACCGGGAAAGGTATACGTACACCTTGATGAAAAAGTGATTGTGAAAATAAATCCTGAATAGGCATAGGCCAATCTCTGTCCTGTGTGTTTGATCTGAGGAAAAAAAGAAAACCCCTTGAATCATTCATTACATCACCAGTTGTATTAGTGGCCTGGCCTGGCTGACAGTTTATTAGGAAGAGGGATAGCTGTTTGACTGCATATGTACACAGGCAAGGCACGGAATGATTCAGGGATGATGTCATCACCACAAGCAGCAGTCTGCTTGAACAGATCTAAGAGATCTGGGCTCCAGGCGAGAGCAGAGAGCAGCCGTATCCGTTAGTGAGTGTTTGCTCACACACCATCACAATGCACTAGTCCCTGGAGGATAGCGTGTAACTCTGTCAACCTTCATCAGGGTTCTGTTGATGAGTAAACTGTGTCACAGTAGAGACTAAAGCAATCAGACCCTGTCTGGTCCTAATGGATCACAGCTATTACTCACAGTTAGTCTCGCAACATTTGAGCTGTTCAAACAGACAAAGGGCACAGCTGGGATCCAGGTCGACAAGGAGCTGGTTACGCAACACCTCCAAAGAGTTCAACTCGGGTCACTGTACACTCTTAGAAAAAAAGGTGCTATCTAGAACCTAAAATGGTTATTCGGCTGTCCCCATAGGAGAACCCGTTGAAGAACCCTTTTGGTTCCAGGTAGAACCTTTTGCACAGAGGGTGGAAAAAAGGGTTCTCCTATGGGGACAGCCAGGTAGAACCCTTTTCAGTTCCATGAAGAACACTTTCCACAGAGGGTGGAAAAAAGGGTTCTCCTATGGGGACAGCCAGGTAGAACCCTTTTCAGTTCCATGAAGAACACTTTCCACAGAGGGTGGAAAAAAGGGTTCTCCTATGGGGACAGCTGAATAACTATTTTGGAACCCTTTTTTCTAAGAGTGTACTGCCAAAGTGCCAAACCTGACGAGTACTCAGTGGGTGTATAAAAATATCTAACAATCTCTTTTATTGACTGTCCTGAAATCCCAGATATGCCCCAGTGTTCTCTGCTGTGCTGTGTGTGTTTGTGTGAGACTGAAATAAAGCTGGCTGGAGTGGAGTGTCTGGCGTGTCTCCATATCAACCCTGGCTGTTGTACGCTCACTTCCCAGACAAAGCTGTGTGTTTTGAGAGGAAACATTGCCGAGGGCCAATGCTACTGGTCAGCGTTGGGTTTGACAGTCACACAGGCTGCCCTGTTCCATGACTGTAGTGGTTGGACGTAGGAGTGCTGGGAAACCTATACTATACTATACTATACTATACTCCTATACTGTGAGCGAACTATACTTCTGTTTAGAACCTCTCACTGGGAGTGTCTATGGTTCCAATCCTAGGCTGGATCACTCCCTTCGGCACATCTATACTGGCTTCGCTTAGTACACTACTTTTAGAGAAACGTTGGTAACACTTTCTTTTTAGAGCCCACTTTCCTTTGGAAGCTCTCACCCAGATCACTCTCTCCCTATCATTTTATAGTCCAACAATAACATAAACAAAACTAACAAGAATGTGCAAAGAGTGACTTTTGCTGGAAAGCACCAGTGATTCAAGCAAGCCTTATGAAAGCACAGTTTGAGATGATGATGATGATGATGTTTTTGGAATTATCCCTGAACTTCTCAGAGTCAAAGGTTATCCTCAGAAGAGCACAAAACAAAAACACCAGTTATGTAACTGCTGATGTACGCTATGTATGAACTATGAGCATGGTTTACTGTTGCTGATGTACGCTATGTATGAACTATGAGCATGGTTTACTGTTGCTGATGTACGCTATGTATGAACTATGAGCATGGTTTACTATTGCTGATGTACGCTATGTATGAACTATGAGCATGGTTTACTGTTGCTGATGTACACTATGTATGAACTATGAGCATGGTTTACTGTTGCTGATGTACGCTATGTATGAACTATGAGCATGGTTTACTGTTGCTGATGTACGCTATGTATGAACTATGAGCATGGTTTACTATTGCTGATGTACGCTATGTATGAACTATGAGCATGGTTTACTGTTGCTGATGTACGCTATGTATGAACTATGAGCATGGTTTACTATTGCTGATGTACGCTATGTATGAACTATGAGCATGGTTTACTGTTGCTGATGTACCTATGATATGAACTATGAGCATGGTTTACTGTTGCTGATGTACGCTATGTATGAACTATGAGCATGGTTTTACTGTTGCTGATGTACGCTATGTATGAACTATGAGCCATGGTTTACTGTTGCTGATGTACGCTATGTATGAACTATGAGCATGGTTTACTGTTGCTGATGTACGCTATGTATGACTTGAGCATGGTTTACTGTTGCTGATGTACGCTATGTATGAACTATGAGCATGGTTTACTGTTTGCTGATGTACGCTATGTATGAACTATGAGCATGGTTTACTGTTGCTGATGTACGCTATGTATGAACTATGAGCATGGTTTACTGTTGCTGATGTACGCTATGTATGAACTATGAGCATGGTTTACTGTTGCTGATGTACGCTATGTATGAACTATGAGCATGGTTTACTGTTGTTGTGTACGCTATGTATGAAACCACAAACATAGTTTGTTGATGAACACATTTGTTTTGCTGCCTGTCAGCTTGGCCAAGGTGTGAAGAGGAATCTGCCAGAACACAAAGTCCGTAACAAGTTAGTCACCACATTAGGTAAGAGACCTTGCATGGCCTCTTCTACTGCTGCTGATGATGAGGTGCACCACAGTGGTATTATTTTACCAGAACATCCCCTCCTCCATAGTGTTCTGAATAGCAAACAACATCTTCACGTCAAGTATAATACTGGGGATAGTTCATAACAATACAATCTGTAACATTGAAATGACCACTGAACAGATTCCCAATCCCCAGACTGTACCTTTAAAGTCAACTCACATACAATTGTCTAGGGAAGGTGATTGTTATGAAATATTGATACACTACAGTAAACCCAATGTGCAAAAACTTTTTTTTACCCAACTTTGAACCTAAATCCAATGATATGGTGAAATGTTTTGTTTAATTCACATTAGTTGACAACTCAATCAAATGTAAATCAAATATGGACGTTGAACTAACGTCTGTGCCCAGTGGGAGCACTGAAGAAAGCACAATGCAATGACAGTCTTCTCCCCCTCCATGTAGTAAACTGATCAGACTAGTTTGACATTCATACTCTGTGACACTATGAATGAAAGAGTTTGTAACGTGTGCGAATCTGCCCAGAGAGATGACTTAATCATGATTTGTTCTCCTACTAATCTGGCCAGTTTATCATCACACAGGCTGCTTCCCAAATGGCCCCTAATTACCTACATAGGGCCCAATAGGTCCTGGTGAAAAGGAGTGCAGTGCATAGGGAATAGGTTACCATTTGGGACGCAAACACAGTCATTGTGTCAAACCGGCTCAGGCCCTTTCACGTCTCATTGTCTCATTCTTCTACAGGACCACAATAGGAGTAGGATCACAGCCAAAAGGTGATGGAATGATAAACAGCACTTCATACTGTTTGCAGAGGATTAGCTATTGCTTTTGGCAGATAGGACATTAACGTAAGCACGCAACATGGACTCATGCTTGCTCATGTCTATAGGCCTATACTTTGCATTTTAAGTAATATCAGTACGCACACACACACACACCTCTCTTTCTCACACACACATTTGGTACTAACTAGTACAGGTAGGTACTGTAGATACTACCTCTATAGCCAGTACACAAAGCTTGCCTGAAAGACCTGCAACATATCTGTAATATACCTGTAACATAACATAGTCATCATTCCTCAACACAAACTTTGTCTAAAATAGAGTAGAAAATCGTTTGGCAAGACTCCCTCTGTGGTGCAAATGTGTCATGACATCCTGATGTGATTATTGCCAGAGTAATGACCTAGGAAAGAGTGCTGTGAGTTTGGGGGGATATGAGGGATGTGAGGTTGGGTTTATAAGGCTGCACTGTGAGGTCACAGACCTGGCAGAACTAGACTCAGCCTCTCTCTTACTGAATGGAAACAAAGTTTGTCAAAGGCGCCTGACCTTTACATTGATGCCCTGCCTTTCTCTCTCTCTCTCTCTCTCTCTCGCTCTCTCTCTCTCTCTCTCTCTCTCTCTCTCTCTCTCTCTCTCTCTCTCTCTCTCTCTCGCTCTCGCTCTCGCTCTCGCTCTCTCTCTCTCTGATGTGCTTAATCATCCAAAGTAATAGTTGTTTCTCTCTCTCTCTCTCTCTCTCTCTCTCTCTCTCTCTCTCAATTCTATTCAATTTCAATTTAAGGGCTTTATTGGCATGGGAAACGTATGTTAACATTGCCAAAGCAAGTGAAGTAGATAGTAAACAAAAGTGAAATAAACAATAAATATTAACAGTAAACATTACACTCAGAAGTTTCAAAAGAATAAAGACATTTCAAATGTCATATTATGTATATATACAGTGTTGTAACAATGTGCAAATAGTTAAAGTACAAATGTGTCATGATCGTTAGAATGAGTGGACCAAGGCGCAGCGTGATATGCGTACATATTTTATTAAATTCACCACACGAACAAAAACAACAAAACGAAACATGAAGTCCTCGGTTAACAAACACAAACCTACACGGAACAAGATCCCACGAATAACAAGTGCACAAAAGGCTGCCTAAGTATGGGTCCCAAT